ATAGACCTGAAGCTTCTTGACTCCATAATCTGTCCTTCTCAGCAGCTGCTTTCATTACATCGGCCTTGAACAAAAACATCAACCAATCAAACAAACAGGCAAAGTTAGCACTCATGACTAGTCACCAGTGCACCGACAGACTGTCTGTGCCTTTAAAGCACAATCACAGCAGTAGAAATAATGCAATGGTTCCCTTCAGCACATTTTAATATTTAAGGAAAGATAAGAAACAGACTGCCAAAAACTTAATTTAGCTCAAAGGGAATCATTTATGATTTTATAGGGAATTTGGACAATCAGTTTTACGGCTGATCACGGAGTCGGCCAGCGATTAATTGAACGAGCTGTATAACATAAATTCTGCATGGATATTAATATCCAAAATATAGTGAAAACACTATTTATTAGCACAGTAACAAGATCAGCAGTTTAAGATATTAACTTGTAAGCACAAAACACCAAGATACTTCTCTTTTCAATATATACTTTATTGGATAAATCTAAGACATAAACTAATCTAACACATGAACACACATTCACACAAGTTGCAGAAATAGAGAAAGTGAGGAAAGAATGAGTTTCAGAGGATGAAAATGTGAAATCCCAAATTTATAGCAATCTGTGAAATTGATTAGACATGAACAACCATCAATCCTTAATTAACCCTCGCATTGAGTTCCTCGATGAGGTTAAAATTATATTAAATGCACCAGTTCAGCACAGAATCTGGAGGTAAGTTACTGTGTAAAGGGGTTCCCTTTGTTGTCTGGTTGCCAAAAGGGGGTTTCCCGAGGTTGCTGATTGGCTGGAAGTTCAGTGGTCGTTTGTAGTGATGTCTTGGGAAGCCAGTGGTTGGGCGTTGGCTGAAGATGCCGAGTTGTGGGCTGGTTGAAGTTTTGAAGCGGTCGGTCACAGACTCGAGGTGAACTCGGAGACACGGAGTTGCGGCAAAACTTAACTCAGAACACGAAACTCTCAACGGAAAATAAATTAAAGTCGAAGAATAGAAGTAAAGTTTGACGAGAGTAGGTGGCGTTTCTCCTCATGGTTTTGGAAGAGCAGCAGGCGTGTAAGCCAGAGCACGCTCAAAGAGCGCAAAAAAAAACATGACTAATAAGCTAGAAGCGATGACTTGAAGTTAAAAGCAAAAAGCTAAAAAGCCGCATGGCTAAAAGTGATGACTGAAAAGCACGGCTACCAGCCATGACCAAAAAAGCTAAAGGTGCGATGACTAAAAAGCATAGCTCAAAGCTATGACTAAAAAGCTGCATGGCTAAAAGTGATGACTTGAAGCAGTGGCTAGAAGCTAAAGCTAAGAAGCTAGACGCTAAAGAGCTAAAAGGCATAATTTGATGGTGTCCTGTGTATTTAAACCGGGTTGTTAGACACATCCCAAATGGTGCCCTGACCAATTGTAGCTTGGGGTGTTGCGATTGTTTCTCCTCCCAATACATAAATCAAAAGTTATCTTATCAGTCACATGGTCCGAATTTTCCCGCTCTTGCAGAGTATAATTTTGGACATTTCTATAACAAGAATATGATACATTTGACGAAGTATTGATTGATAGAAACATTTAAAGCATGAATTTTCACACTCATACATACCCAACATGAATATAATCCTATAAACTATTCAGTAGTTATTCAAAATACACACACAAGAGGTGATTAGAACATAATAGTCCAATGTGTGGGTTACATACATAATGATTATTTATGCATAGAAATGATTAGTTGCTCTTATGAGCGTCCTTTTAGCGTCATTTAGGTGCATATATACATGAAAGGCCGTTTCTGTGCCATTCTGTGGAAGGACATGCTTTGTGAAGACCAAAGAGGTTAAAAGGTCTCCCAAGGAATCTCAGTCTGGTTCTTGTTGTCTAAGTGGGGGAAACTACCCAACGCAGTTTCTACTAATGATTTTCCTCATGTGATGGTCATGATATGCAGTGTCTTTGACCATTAATCTTGCTTACTTGCCCCAAAATTGACAATCTCCTTCCTGAGTTATGATTAGTGTGTTCTTTTGTGTTAATGTTGAAAGCTGTTCGAAGCTGCTAGTTTGTTAGGCTCACTTCAGACTCGTGGCGCCAGGATTTGATTTATGAACATCCTGCGTCTTCGGCCTTTCCGTGGAATTCAGCTCCTCGAGTTTCAACCATGTCCTTGACCGAATCTTTAATTGATCTGATTGGGTCTGATACCCTACAAAGCGGATCAGAAACTACGGTGCTTGTCCAGTCTCACCAGGTTACTTTCTTTGCAGAGCTGGCGCTGCAGTCTCCCGTTGTGATTTGACTGAGATTATTGGCCTGTTCACATCCAGATTGAGAGCCGTTCACAGCTGACTGAGGTTTAAAGCACCAAATGACAGAAAGAAAGAAAATCATCATGGTTCCTTTCAAGCAAGCACTAATTATTGAAAGACTAGAAACAGTAAAAATGTATTGAATAAATATCAACATGTAACATACAGATGGGAGAAAAAAGCTCCTTGTGTTCATTGTTCTGCATCTGAAAGTGAATCAGAAATTGAAGTGAATCATTTGCACAACCGCAGATCTGAATGCAATGTCACTAAATATGTTGTGTCTGTGTGCGTGAGGTGCGGCGCGATATGATCATACCAACACTGGGTGGTTATACAGAGAAGCAAAACATCATTTAAAACTGTCAAGATTGGCAAAATAAAGAAAACTATTTTCTGCTGTCTCTTTTTCCTTTCCATGAACTTTGGATGGCGTCACAATAAACCGAAACTTAGCACATTTTTTCTTTTTAGTTAATCTGTCAATGATTTAAATGAAATACATTTCATGTAGGCCAGTATAGGCTATTCCTTTTCATGTAAGCCTATAGTTTTAAGCCGTTCACAAGCGCCCCAAATAGAAAATTGGTTGTGGGCCTTATCTGGTTGAATCTGGGCTCTTGTTGTGGCCCACATACCACCACGGCCCACTCCCCTCGAATGGCCCTTAAGCTGCTTGCCTAAAGAATACCAGAACCAGGCCTGAAGCAGACCAAAACTCACCCACAACTCCACAGTGTCCCCAGAAATCAGCCACAACTGGCCCACAACAGTGCCGGAAGCCCCAGATGTCAGCCGGACAAAAGCCAAACTTTACCCCAGAACTCAGCCACAACAGTGCCGGAAGCCCCAGATGTCAGCCGGACAAAAGTCAAACTTTACCCCAGAACTCAGCCACAACTTATCCAGAAGCTTCGGAAGACAGCCATAACTGGACCAGTATTATCCCAAAACTAAACCAGAACTTACCCTATATAATATTTATATGTTGTGCAAGGTATAATAAAAGAACAAAACACCGCAAATGCAGTATAGTGTTTTATTGATGCAGAGGGGACAAATCTCAGCCAGGTAACAGTAAAAATAAAAACCAGTAACACTAGAATAAGACAAAACAAAAGCAACAAATAAATAGTCACAATACAAGAGAAACCAAATTAAACTGTTAAAAACACATATGTGATAAAATAGACACCAACAAATGAAATACAACTCATATTTACAGATGTGCAAAAAATGTACTGTAAAATATACTTAATGTAAAAGATTCAGTCTCTCAGCAATAAGTTGTCTGGTTTACATTAGCATCTTGTGAAGTCGTTCTTCTGTTTCTGCCACCTCACGGTCACCAGCTAGATGAACTGTTTCGACCTTCAGCTCAGTTGTGTGCACATACAGGATTTCTTCTGACAGCCTCTACAATAGGAGCATACACATACAGAGTTACAATACATTTAGACACCACCAGTCTGAATGGGGGCGGGGGGTTTCCAGAAAGACTTGCAATAAAAATGCACTTGCCAATCACAATGTTTTTATTTGGTGTTTTCCCATTTACACTTCTCCAGTTCACCGCTTTAGCCAAGCCATTTTTGATCGCCTGAAATTAGAAAACAACACTCTGCAGTTTATTTACTGGTTTAAGGGCACAGTAGCAGAAATAATCACCCTCCTCTTCTCATCGAAGACATGCGATGCAGAACTAAACAGTCTCTAACCGTCGGTTGTAATGATTTTTGCGTCTTTATTTGGTGCATCCCTAGATGAAACCTACATGTTAGTTGAGATTTTAAAAGAAGAATGAACTTACCTTGATGTATTAAAGCTCCAAAAGACAAAAGCAAGGTATAGCGGGATCACAGCAGTTTGAGTTTCCCCGCCAGACTGTGTTGGTAATGTGAGTGGCTGGCTGACTGCTACACAACTTCTGGTCCTCTGGTAGCTCTGGTGTGTGCTTCTCGTCTCGCGGTGCGCTCTGGGAAAAGTAGTCCTTTTTGTAAATCAGATTTAACACCGTAGATGTAAATCAACTACTATTTCCAAGATGCATTGCAAACTACGTCATCGCATTGGCCCGTCCGCCACATTAGACCAAGCAGTATTCAATCTGTAGTTAAGGTTTTTAGTTCGGTTTAGTAAAATCATGTTTTATTTCTGTCGATTTCAGTACATACTCGTTTCTTTAATTATAATCTCCAAAAGTGTCTTCTATTTGAATAAATATTGTAAAGGATTTATATAATTAGGAAGACGCATCTTACACAAGTCTGTCTTACTGTAAAGCACATTCATGCCAGAGATCTCTTATTTACTCTTCGGCTAACCAAAACCCACCCGGATCTCAGCCGAATGTTTTCTTTTTGGAACGTAACATGTAAACATACCAGTAGTGTCCGTCCGGTCTATTTGTAGACTGAAGTGTGCAGCCTGGAGTCCTGTGAGTTTCTCCTGTTTAGTGAATCTCAGTCTCGGTCTGGCAGCGAGTTCAGGTTCCAGATCCTCTAGAGACTGGGCCAGCTTGTGCTTGTGTGAAACGGGCTGTTTCTGAAGTGCTGAGGATCCACGGAGATCTCTGTGTCCTTCATCTGGCTCCTGGGTGGATGAACGTGCTTCAACTCTGCTTGAGCTCCAAAGCACTGTGTGTCGTAAGAACAAGAAGAGCTGAGCTCGCTCCAAAAGAAGCAGAAGCCACCAAAATCACTCGTGTTGAGCCCTGAGTTACATGTCCAAACACATCCAAAATATCAAGCACTAATTACACAAGAGAGGAGATCAAGTGAACAGACCATAGTTCTCCGTGTTAGTTCTGCTTGCAGCATCTGCAGTGAATTACTCATCCTTTAGGACACTGATAACTGAAAGAAGGAATATGGTAACAAAAGGTTTCGGTTAGGTTTTTCTAGGGAGACCAAATTAAGACCGAGATAAAGATGTGACATACAGACGTTGATGATCAGAAATAGTTCAGACGTGTAAAAAGGCTAACATTAGTGTAAGAGACTTGTATTTTGTTCCACAATATATATATATATATACTGCATGTATATTAGTCAAAACATCAAAATAAATGTACTTCTTTAAAGCACTACTAAATTATTTAAAATGCACATTTACATTAAACTTAGTTCTGTTTAAGTGGCCTTTAATTTTAGTCAAAGGCTTATTGTCTGCAAGTACACTTAAAAACCCTGTTATCCCCATGTTTGTACATATAATGTATCATATATGTCTCCAGCAAACAATGACAATATGTGCATATATCTTCACATCTATGAACTATTGTTATTGTATATGTGGTCATAAATCAGGTTTCCGGATGTAGTTTCCAGAACCCGGAAGCTGTCGAGAGAAACTTCCGTTCAGATATGTATAGACGCCACATTCGACCGCTCCAGATGCGCTGATGCGTCCGCCATTTTGGAAAGGTCAACTTGACATCAGTCACCATAATAACCATGAATACACATGCGTATAACTTGCTGTTGTAGACACACGGTCAGCTTGTGCTCGAGTATCGCGGCCCATAGAAACAGTCGCTAATGAGGCATCTACATATATACATCTGTGGGATTATCACTAGACGCGTTACCTGGGTTCGTGCTCCGGTCCACTAACTCTTTTAAAATTAACAGAGAGGGCAAGGCCCATTCGCTGGCTGGCCACCGTGAGTTTTGTTACCGGGTTCATGTTGTTGTTGTTGTTGTTATTTTTCTTCTTTTCTTTTAATCTTCGGAGTTCACGTTCTTCCGCGTTTCTTCTTCTTTTATGCGTTTTCTGACGGGTGTCAAACTACCTAATGTTCTAGATTCACAGCGCCATCTACTGTGCTGGAGTGGGGTTTTTTTTTTTTTTTTTCATTGCTGATTTTTATTTTTGTGCTTTATAAACCCTCTGGTGTTGTTCGGCCATTTTAGACCCGGAAAAAAGTTTCTAATTTTTAAAAAAAATAGCTACTTAAAAGCCATTTAGTTTTGTACCATTCTGATTCTGGCAATCGCTATGTGACCAGACCATAGACTGTATAGGGACCAGACGCCTGATTTATTTTATTTTTATTTTTTTAACTTATTAATTCTTTAGTATAGCCTCTGCACACAATATGAGCTCCTTACCTGCAGTCCTAGCCCAGAACTAAACAGACTTGGGTGTGTTTACTAATGATCCCGGACACAGCCTGTTTGCTACAGATCTCTGTGCACTACTACAACATCTAGCCATAAAAGCTGTTTTTGCCCCTATGCCGTCACCACTTTAAACAGCTAACACAGACAGTTTTACCCGTTTTCTGCTATTAATTTCTCCATTTCTAGCTATTGCCTGTGTCTCGAGTATTATGTACATACATACACACACTTTATACAGCTGTGCAGTAAATCATGCTAAAATCTGTACAGAAATAGTGTTCCAGATTCATACCACATTATTGTTATTACTATTTATTGTTTGTTTTTCTTCAGTCTTATTTATTAGTTATTTTCTGTTCTCGTGTCATATGTTTGCAGGGATGTATGTAGTGTATGTGTAGTGTATTCCTTGTGTTTGCACACAGCTGCTGAATAAAGCTAATTCTGATTCAACAATTTCTTTATCTGTTAAATAGATCAAATACAAAAATTCCATGGTGCACAAAAACATTACATACAATTCACAATTTCTAAAAAAAAAAACTTTAAAAGGAGGCATGAAATAAATGTTTTCCCTGTAGAGTTAATCGTCAACAAGTGTCCAAATATTTAAACATGGCTTCATAACCTGCAGCCCTGCTCTAGAATTCATGTTTGCATTAACTCGTCTACTAATTAAGCACTTTTTAAAAACAGATATTTGTACCTTTTTCAGCTTTATGTGAGTAATTCATTGCCACAGATTCTGACCATTTGTGGCGACCCCTGACAGCCCTTTTGCCCGTCTGTCTGCTGTAGTCATGCTCTGAACCAGAGACCTGCACTCCCGCGGGACCCAACGCAACCGAGTGCGGCGCAGACTGAAGCCCTGCAGAGATGCGAGCTACAGCCAAACCAGCACCGCACAATCCGGCCCAACCACATCACACAGCTACAAAAACACAACTACATTGCTCACTGGAAAGATGCCACTAAATCACAACATTAGAGCTGCACATTTCCCCAAATTCCTACTAATTAAACCACATTTTATGGCATTATCAAATACAGAGAAATTAAGTCACATTTTAGGGGAAGCTTCCAAAATGATCCCCACAGCAGCACGATATGCATCAGCCTGTCACACACTCAGACTGTCAGCCAGCGGACAAAACTGAAGCAAGAGCATTTCTCACATGTACTGTTGTGCAATTTATTTTAAACAATGTCTTTTAATATTTTTCTTGTTTGTGGAAAAAAAAAAAAAAGAAGTATACACGTACTTATTTACTTAATTATTTTACATATCTATTTTCTTGTTTGTGGAAAAAAAAAAAAAAAAAGTATACACGTACTTATTTACTTAATTATTTTACATATCCTTGTTTTGTTTATGTATTATATAATTGTTTATTCCTTATTCATGTACTGGACAATGCTTTGGCAATACTGTGCAAGTCATGCAATAAAGCTCAATGAGAGAGAGAGAGTTAAATAAGAAACATTTGCTTTGACATGTTCAACTGTAATATATATTTCTGATTTAACACGTATGCACTGTTGGGGTTGTAGAGAGATTGAACCTATTACTGACATCTAACTCCAAATGTTTAAGTATACAAGAGCAATACCCACCAATTGAATGGTCTCCCTTCTTTCCTCAATTGTTTGTCGATCTTTCTATTAAATTCTTCCACTTTAAATTTGATCATGTCACCGGCCACTGGCAGGTGTGGCAAAAAGTTAGTTTTAGGCCCCGAGTGCACCCTATGGGCAAACTATGGTGCAAAAACAGTTATTTTGAGGAAATGTATACATTTAAGATAAAGATACAACCATTTGCAGCATAGTTAAAAGATATTAAAGATGTATAAACGTGAACATTGTTAAAGTACCACCAAATGCTCCTTAGATCCCTGTAACTAACCAAATCCATAAAATCACTTCATATTGGCCATGCAGAACATGACAGACACTAGCACATGATAGCCATAGACCTGCAGATTAACTATTAAAACTGCCAAACGTCTCATTCATCACTGCAAAACAATGCCAAAGCGACTAATAACACCTATTCCGGTGCAACCAGGCAGTCAGCGCAGTTTAATTATAAAAGATGAGTAACTAATGGTAGAACAATGAGTATTAAACAAGTTTTCACACTAATGCACACTGAGAAAACATTTCTGCTCGATTTACTTAAAAGTTTGCAAATAAAATTCATCATTTTTTATTACGTAGATCAAACAAGACCGGTCTTTGTACAAACTGCTTAATTGTTCTGTCTGTTGAAAGAAAATTTGCACAAAGTACACTTAATTTTAGTATTTCTTTAGTCATGTTTTGTGTGTGTGATCTACAGAACTTTAAGAGCTCTAAATGTGTATTTTTGGTTGAATCCAACTTAATTTTTTAATTTCCCTATTACAAATTTCAACTGTTTTTCCAAATTTGTTAGTGTATTTTAAAGTTACATATACTCAAATGTTCTAATTAGCAAGTATTTCTACTGAAAGTATAAATGCAATTAGTTCTTTTTCTTTACAACTATTTACTATTTCAGCACTGGTACTCCTCAGTGGAATGCCAGTAGAATATATACTCATCAAATATAGAAATCTAGTTAATACGTCACATAAAGCTGACATTTTTGCCATTTGATAGTAAAACCTGCACAGAATATGTTCTATAAAATTGTGTTTTTCAGTCCTTAACGGTAACGTACTCAAGACTTTAAAGCAAGAAGCACACAAACATGATCCCAGTGTGGAAATGAAGCAGATCTTCTTATAAAGCAACATTTCTATTGAAATATATTCACATTGTGCAAAATATTTTCCACGAGTCACGTTTCTCACTTCTTAGCAGTCATCTTTTCTTCAAATGCACCTTGAACATTAACTCACAAACATGGTCCGAATTCAGTTTCTTTGGAGATCTTAGCTGCAAGGCATAAACAAGGCCCATGAGGTAGGTGCAAGCATGTGCTAGACTGGGAATACTCCCTCGATGTTTGCTTCTCGAGACCTCCGTCCCTGGCGTTGCTGAGCGCGAGGATGGAGCACAGATGAAGTGAGGTCCTCCTGGATGGCTGCAGCACTGTTGTCATCATAAACCTGAGAGAGAATTAAACCTACTTTTCATTTTTGTTTGCTAATCTGAAGAAGGTGTATAGCTCTCTGCTCTCCCTCTGAACAGAAATCTGGGCGGGATGACGTGGTTGAGTGAAGAAGAAACGCGTGCTCATCAGAAATAACTATCTTGAGTGGAAATATTTCTGTCATGACAACTATGATACTACAATGTTAAAAGTGCATGCCTCATTTATGATGCCATTTGAAATGAAAACAACGTTTTGTCTGGCCCATGAGCTAACTAAGTTAATTTAACTATTATTATTATTATACATTTTTATGTATCAGCTGCCAGAGTTCTTGCCACGAGTCACGAGCGTTTGTCACCATTTCTGCTGTAAACTACAATGTTTTGTTTTTAAATAAAAGATTTGATGAAGCATATTATATACCAGCAAACAGATACGATCAGAATGTGACCCCAATAAGCTAAATTGCATAAGCATTTTCCCATAAAGAGCACACACACACACACACACACACTCACACACACACACACACACACA